ATTAAAATTCCATTACAATCCTACTAAAATCCTATTAACATCTCGTTATAATCTCATTAACATCTCATTATAATCTCATTAACAGTCCATTTAAAAAATCCCATTAAAATAATACAAAAAGCCCACTGAAATCTCATTAACATCTCATTAACGTATCATTTAAAAATCCCATTAACATCTCATTAGCATCTCATTGAAAAACCCCTGAAATCTCATTAACATCTCATTATCATCTCATTAAACCCCCTAGAATCTCATTATCCTCTCATTAACATCTCATTAAAATCCCATTAACATATCATTATAATCTCATTAAGATTTCCTTTTAAAAATCCCATTAAAATCCACTAAAATCTCATTAAAATATCAATAAAATCCCAGCAAATTCCAACTAAAATCTCATTAAAATCTCATTAAAATCCCATTAAAAGTCCACTTAAGTCCTACTAAAATATCATTAAAATCTCATTAACATCTCATTATCACTCCATTAAAAAATCCTATTAAACAAAAATATCATTAAAATGCCACTAAAATATCATTAACATATCAACATACAATTATAATCTCATTAACATATCATTAACATTCTATTTAAGAATCGTTAAAATCCCACTGAAATCTCATTAAAAATCTCATTAACATCTCATTAACATCCCATTATAATTTCATTAAAACACCACTAAAATCCCTCTAAAAATCCTATTAACATCTCATTATAATGTCATTAACATTCTATTAAAATTCCATTTTAAATCTCATTAAAAACCCCACTAAAATCCTATTAACATCTCATTAGCATCTCATTATAATCTCATTAACATTCTATAAAAATCCCGCTACAATCCCCCAAAAATCTCATTAACATCCCATTAGCATCTCATTAAAAGCAATCCCAGTGAAATCCCATTAAAATATTATTGAAATATCATTAAAATCCCACTTAAATCTCATTAAAATCCCATTAACATCTCATTAACATCTCATTTTAATCTCATTAACATTCTAAAAAAATCCCACTAAAATCCCACTAAAATTTCATCAAAATCCCGCAAAAATCTCATTAACATCCAATTAACATCTCATTAGCAACACATTAGAATCTCGTTAACATCTCATTACCATCTCATTAACATCTCATTAACGTCCCATTAACATCTCATTAACGTTACATTTAAAATTCTCATTAAAATATCATTAAAATCCCAATAAAACCTCATTAAAATTCCGCTATTATCCTAATCAAATCCTATTAACATCCCATTATAATCTCATTAACATCTCATTAAAATCTCATTAACATCTCATTAACATCCCACTAAAATCTCCTTAAAATTCCTTTAAAATCCCTCTAAAATCTCATTAACATCTCATTAACATCCCAATAAAATTCCAATGAAATCCCA